GGAGCTGTGGGTCCACGAAGGATGTATCGTGTGGACCAGTGGAGTGTACCTTGTCAGTGGGAGACTGTATGGCCTGCAGGAGGCACTAGATGGTGCCAGAGAAACAGTGAGTGTCCTCTGTATCTATTCGACCTGTTTTGTTTTGGTATATTTCAGGATTATAACTTGTTATTTATGGTGCTGACTGTCAGTGGTTCATAAGTTATGAATTAATGTATATTATTAATCGTGTTATGTGTTTATTGATTTTTATCATTTTGCTAGGTCCTCAGCTGTTCTTCACTGTCCAGTACAGTTTTGAGATGTATTGATTTATTATTTGGCATTCTGTCTGTCTATGCTCAGAGCTGCTCATACTGTGAGATGGTTGGCTCAACCCTGGGCTGCTACAGTAAAGGCTGTACACTTCGCTACCACTACCTGTGCGCTATTGAAGCAGGTGGGTGGATTATATAAATACAGAAGCAGTGTAAAAAGTAGCTTAACGCAAAATACTGTTTCCCAATAATGGATATTTATGCCTGTTTAAAATAGCAGACTAACCTGTTGTAAAAAACAAATGTTTTTTTTACTGTTAGCACAGTACTGATATTTTCTGTCCCCCCTTTTAGATTGCTCTCTGAACGAAGATAACTTCTCACTGCGGTGTCCGAAGCACAAGGTAAAGAATGAGAGGTTGGTTTTCATACCTTTTCTGGGGAAATTTCATTTTGTGTGATTCTGTGAATGTCCTGTCTCTTTTTCCTTTGCCACTGTAGTTCCTCACACTCCAATTACTGACCTTAATTATTAATTAATTAATTACTTCCGCTTAATTTCTTTCAAATTCTTTCTCTAAACCCAACAATTTTCTTTCTGTCTTTCTTTGTCTCTGTCTCCGCTCCTCTTCCCTTCTTCACTCAGTTTACCCAGAGCATCCGACCAGCCAAGTCAGTTTACCTGGAGCAGTCAGAGAGAGGCTGAGAGAAACGGGGATGATGAAGAGACACAGGAGTCTGGGAGCTGTAAGTTTACACTGTGTGTGTGTGCGCGCGTGTGTGTGTGTGCGCGCGGGCGCGCGTTTCAAAATGTGTCATAGTCAGATCATTCAGGATGTTATCATTAAGACATTATTTTATAACGTTGTTCAGTGCTGTGGACATACAAATGATTTGGCTGTCCATCTTTACAGATCGTGGCCCCATCCAATAAATGTTTATTTTTATTATTATTTTTTTCTTTCATAAGTTGAAATGGATATGCTTTTCAAAGTGTGACCTAGTGTGCCAGAATAGTGCATCCATATAAAATCATACACTGGAAAACACAACCTCCCTAACTGGATGTTAGCCTTTAAGGTAATGCTGTTCTGCTGCCACCTGTCTGGTGTAACCCCATCTCACCATCAAATAGGTTCAATCACGGCAACACAGTTTTTCATTATTTGGTGGGAGACTGGTTTCTTATTAATGGACCTTCAGTAAATGGATACTAATTTGTTGCCTCAGGGCTGTTTATACCTTTTCTCTTTAGACAATCTAATGTCACGCAGCAACACAACAGCTACGTCATACCTTTTGTTGGCTGAATCTTATACTCCCACTCTCTCACTCCTCCTCACCTCACTTTAGTGTCTGTACTCTTGCCTGCCACTCTCTGTCACTGTCTCCCCCACACTTTCAATCCATTCTGTCCTCGTGGAAATAAACGACATACCACGCCATATCTTTCGTCTCTTTGCTTTCTCTTTAAAGAGGTGGTATTCTGCTTTTTGGCTTTTCCCCTCTTCTTTTTTTAGTTATGTACCTTTTTTGTGCGTTTAATAGGTTTGCAAAGTGAAAAAGCCCAAAGTCCACCCAAAGGGAGTTCCCATCTCCCACAGAAAACTCTTTGCTTTGAACTGCTTGAAAACAGCTCGTTTGTAGTCCAGCCGCTTCCCTTTCATCCCTGTGATGACACAGGGATAAAAGCTAAATGCGCCTCATGTAACGCTTGCCAAGCGGCTAATCTGACACGCCCTTATTCTTTTTCAAATAATATATTTTTAAAAGGCAATTATTTTGTAATGAAAAACCAATAAGAGTATAGATAAAGAACAGAACCAATAAATAGTCAATCAATAAATGTATCAATAAAATCCTAACAATATAAAATAAATACATTATAAATGGCAGCAGGTAAAGACAAAGTTTATGATTATTTATTACTCATAGTTAACAAGTCCATCTCTGGGATACATCTCTTGTTCATGTAATTACCTATTTATAAAGATTAAACATGACAATTAACTTTAATCTTGTTATTTTTAACAAAGTTTTGTTTTTAAGTTTGTGTTATTCTAAATTCTGACACCAAGATTAAAACTTTTACAGCAAATCGGTTCCACATATTGGTCATCGGTCTAGTTGGTGACTAATAATCGGTTTCGGGATCAGCCTGGAAAAAAACCTTTCGGTCGATCCCTACTCAAAAACACCGGTGGAGAAACACTGAGCTGCAGCACACACCTCTCCTCTCCCATCCAAACACTAGCTACCCTCCAAGCAGTCAATGGACATATAGTTGTAACTGTGATGTAGAGACAGAGCTCAGTTAAAACTTTATTATTTCACCACTCTGAAACTCTTGCTCCAGTCCATGTTGCTGAAACAAGGCTGTTTACGGGCTTCTCGCTGGCCCGCCCTTCTCTGCTTCTGATTGGCTAGTAGTCCTTAACTAGGAACTGCACATGTGCAACTCCCAACAAAGATCTAATAGAATTGAGAAGCCTCACCCGGTGGCTAAATCGGAGCCTTCAACACACAGGGTGAAAAGAGGAGCTGCAGCAATGTGCAGTATGAAAAGAAATATGGTGTTTTTGACAATTAAACCATGTAAACCTGTTGAAACCCTATATAAGATTTTGAACCTGAAAATTAGCACAATACCACCTCTTTAAATATTACAGCAGAATAATGACGGTATGCTAAGGATTTAGCAACTTTTTCCGCTTTACTTCATCATGTTTTGCACACATCTATTCCTGACCATAACCAGTGACACAGCAGAGTAAATACAGAGTAAAAACAGTTAACAATTTGCTATTGAAATTTTTTTTCCATTTCAAATTCATTGAATTAGAAAAACTAAATGACTTCTTGGCCAGCTCACAGGGGTGTTTGGCAATAATAACAGAAACAGTGATTGTCTGCTTATTAGTCTAATTCTAAAAGACTTCTCACAGAGCAATCTTTTAAAGAAATTGTGCAATGTGTGAAAGCAGTTCATACGAAAGTCAAAATGCGTAAGCCTTGGTGGTGATGATGCTAACCTAATTTTGTGTGTGTTCCCTTTCCTAGGTGAGTTTGGCCAATAGAAGACTGAGAAATGAGACTTGTTTATAAGGCAGCCCCAAATGTGAAAGGACTTGACTGACATCTGTGACAGAGAACAACAAAAGGGAATGTACAATTTCTCAATGGGAATCAGCATTATTTACATTTAAGACAATGGAGAAAAGAAGCCGTTTTTTTCCTAAAAGAAGTATTTCTCTTAATTTGAAAGCCGAAAAAGAAAAAAAAAACATGGACATGCAACATAGAGGATCGGAGCTACAAGAAAAAAACAACAACAACAGAAAAAAAAAAAACTACAAAAGTGGAATAAAATGAGACGTCAAGACAGATGGAGGAGCTAAAGGAACTTTTCTGTAAAGAACAAAAGAAACAAACTTCCTCTCTAGGCTTACTTTGATTTTTCCTCAGACAAAGTGTTTAACTCTTGTTTATCATCATTTAATTTTATTTCTGGGTTTCTTATAATTGCTTTGAAGAGGCGTATTGAGAGCAAGTTGGGAGACGAACCCAGAAATGAAAAGGAGAGAATTTTGTATCCTCTCACAAGTAGTATCTTATCTTATATTAGGATGATCACAATTATTATTGTAGTCCTTATTATTATTTTGTATCCTCATCATTATTTACTCATAAAAATGAAATGGATGTATATCACTTTATATTCAGTCAACACATGAATTTTTTCACATGGATTTATTTTATAAATTTTTTTTCCCATTCCTGGAGAGGGAGGAGCCAGAGTGATTGTTGTCTGGAATGTCAGGGTCGAGTTTGCCACAAAGACTTTATTGCCTTGGAGAACGGACATCTGTTGCCTTTCAAAAGTCACGTGTATGAATGAGGAGTGAGTGAGTGTGTGTGTGAGAAACTGAAAAATGCCGATATCTGGGTCTTTGATTCCATTTTGGTCCTTTTGAAAAGTGTTCTTATTTTTCATCACTGGGGTTTTTACGGTACAGATAGTATTCATGAAAAATCAGATGGACACAATCTTATTTTTCAAGTACAAATGTTCGTAATGTGCAGATAGAAGGACAGAGACTTGTCGACAGAGACTTGTAAGAGGAGCAGACAACACTATGAACAAATGCGTGTCGGCCATCTTTTACCGTGCTGAAGATGACAGGACACTGAAGCGTTTTCACCGGTGTGGAACTGTGTACTGGGTGCACAAGTGCGCATGTTCTACATAGGAAGCTACGTTTGACTGACAAGTGTCAGTCCCTCGGACAGTGATGAAAACTGTGAAGAGGGTGTCATGTGAACGGCTGTGATTGGCCAGCTATACTGGCCAGCTGGGAGTAAGCCTTACCAAGTACTTTTGAATGGTTTCATTCTTCAGTGACACCGCAGCGAAGTCCATTCAAAAGATGCATTGCCATAAAATTTAAAAGTGAGTCGTACATGGTGTTGTCTTTATCATTTTTTATTGTTATTCTTGTATAAAAAAAAAAAAAGTCAAGCTGAGAAGACGACAGTTACACTATCAAAACCATGCCGTATTAGAAACCTGTCAATATGTATATGAATTATGAATACACTTAAAAAATGCTTCAAGTACGCTCCTCTTGTTATTTCTGAAACATATTTTTGTCACTGATAAAACCACCTTTTTCCGTTTCATCTGACATTGTTCTGCCCCAATATCTTTTCCACTTTTACCAAGCTCCCTCTCTCTTTTTTTGCACGTGTTCTCACAAAAGCTATCTCTGTCTCTATTTCTGCCACAAACACAGACACACAGGCGCGCTTCCTCTGTTCCATGTTTCTGCTTTCTGTCTTTTCAGTTTGAGCGTAACCCCATTCTCAAGACTAGTTAGGAATGCACTCTTGACTCTAGAAACTGTTGTACCAGAGCATAGATTCTGTGTTTCTGTCAATCTGTGTCTGAAAAGTGTCCCACTAAAGAATTTGACTCAAAGAAACTAGAGCAGCATCAATGGGGACAAAGAATCTTTAAACCAAAATTTCTGATTTACCTTGGGTAAAATGGTCATGGAAGATTTGAGTAGCAAAATTTAAACAGTGGCATTTATATGGTGGGGTGGAAATTTGTGCATTGGCTCCATATTGTAAATCAAGTTTTGATATATTCTGCTGCAATGGCTTACAGCAGGACATTGATTCCCAACCAGGGGTATGTAGAGAAGTGTTACATATGAAAAAATAATTACCAATTTCTATATATATAAATAAAAGACGTTAAAGCTTAATGTAAAAAAAAAAAAAGAATAATGTAATGGACCATGTAATAGTGAAATATCTAAAATTACTGGAGAAATGGTGGAATCCGTGAAAGTAATGCGTAAACAGTTGAAAAAATGTGGAGTCACTACCTCTCGGAGCCAAATATTTGCCACTGAAAATTGACGTATGGTATGGCGAAGAAATGTTGTCCAGTGTAATAGTGTGTATCAGATATATTTATTCACCATTTCAAGGTCATGTTGATTTTCACATCAAAACAGTGAGTGCTGCATGCTTTTACAGGCTGGAAAGAATTGGAAGAGGGGGCGAGTCAGTGGAGGAGAGATGAATGAAACTGATCAAAATGAGTCAAGGAATCAAAATGAAAACAGATGGAACACAGTTGTCTGTTTTGGATTTATACGGATGGATTAAAGAAGAGGAGTGTGTGTGTGTGTGTGTGTGTGTGTATGAGTGAGTGAGTGATATGCTCACAGTGGTGTTTGACCGCTGGGGTCAGATCATAAAGACTGACAGTCACACTGCTCGCAGAGGTCAGTGTGACGGCCGAAATCCACTATCACTCTCACTATCTGATTGAGTGAAAGGGAGCGCAGACGGGTGAAGGAGCTGTGCCGGATGTTTCTTTCACCTTCCACATTTAACTCCATGAGGGAACTGAGGACCGAGTACGAAGTAAGAGAGACAGAAGGAGGTGAGTGGGTTTTTCTTCTCTCCCTCCTTCGTTTAAATGCAATTCACTGCTTGACGTCAAGTGCTCAGAGGTATTTGTTTGAGCATCTGTATCCTGGAGAGGTTCCATGGTGACAGCAATTTTCCTCTATTTTCCTCTGATTTAGCCGTCAGTCTTACCACCAATTACCAGCAGTGTGCTGATTTTCTGTCACAGTCTTTTTATCCTTTAAATGTGATTAGTCATGTAAAACTGATGGCTCCCCCGCACCTTCTCTTTCAAACACCTCTCTAATCATCTCAGGCAATTGGGCAGAGCTGCTTCTTAGAAACTAATAACATGCTGGTGATATTTTTAGTGACATGCAAGAGCAGAGGTGCACCTAAAGTCAAGTAGAGGAACAATGAAAAATTTAAGACACTTATTCCCTTGTCAGACATTTAACATACAGTGCTGACATGTTACTTTTTGTTTTTTGGGTCTTGAACATTGCTATTAAGAATTTTAATATTTGCACATGCGTGTCTCCATCCGGCTATTCCTCCAGCAGCCCATGCCGTCATTTAATCCCTGCATGATGGCATTCCTGCAGCAGATGCGTTCCCCTCGCCTCTCCTTTCTCCAGACGGTCGTTTCTCTCTTCTTGGGTGGCGTGGCCCTCATGTCCTCCTACTGGTGTGTGGGGAAACAGAAGGTGCCCAAGCCACTATGTTCGGCCACCAAGCAAAGCAACTGCATCCCCGTTCCTGGCGTCTCCAACTCCTCCAACATCCAGTTCTCCTGGGAGACGGGGGATGACCGCTTTGTCTTCCCCACCTTTCATACCGGCCTGTTCATCACCTGTGAGGAGAACATCTACACAGATGCATGGGGTAAGACAGGAGGGAAATAATTAGAAACATGAAGCAGATTTAAAATATGTAGAACATGTTGTTGTAGGGCTGTTTGATGGTTTGATTTGGTGCAGGAAGAGAAAATGTATCTAAAAACGTGAATATGTGAGATAAAGTATATTCTAGTCAGCTGAAATAAAACTCCTCGCTGATTAGGTCAAAAGCCAAATTTGCTCAGGTTCTTTCAAAAGGAAATAGAGAGCGAAATAGGTCACAGGAGGAGGAATCCAGGGTGATAATGTGAATTGAGGCCTCAGGTGTGTTCGTTTCTATGTGTGTTTGAGTGAGTGTGTGTTTGGGTACGTCCTCAGCCCAAAGAGGATTATCATCAGTGTGTGTTCAGCTCACAGAGATTTAGACTTCAACAGCATGACTCAATTATGGATTAGAAAACCAGGGAGAGAAAGGTTAATAGGAATCACAAACATCGGCTGGGTTTTCACCGTCTCATTTGCAGCTGATTTGCAACTGATTTTAAGGACTGAGTTTGAATGATACTGAAGTTCAGCCAACTGATTTATGTGCTCAGTTATATAAATCAGTCCGTATTTGTAATAGTTTGGTATGTCATGGTTGGCAGTGTTGAAAGCAGACACCAAAGCAAAGTCCTCCTAACATGCCCCTGCTACAAAGCTGTACATTTCCTTCTATATGTTTTGTATTGTTTGAACTTTCATTTGTTTTTTTCTAAATATACATTTAATATACAATATGTTGAGAGCTAAAATCACTATATTAACAATGGGTCATATGACTACTTGGTGGTGAAAGGGGTCACTCTTATTTTTCAACCCACACTTAGCACCAACTCTGCTGCTCCCCACACCTCTAGTGAGCTTTATAGAGACTTTCAGCTCCTTATTTTCTGCAACCTTACATTTTTGGTTCTCTCGCACTGCTCTTGCATCGCTTGCGGCTGCAGCAGTCAGCGAGAACATTCCTCTGTACACCACCTGCTCTGTACCAAACTGCAGCCAGACAAAGTTAGCGACTAGCTCCCGTGAACAAAGTGGGGCATTTAGCAGCTGAACAGGAGTTGGTGGAGGCCAAAGACAGAGCTAAAAAGAGAGTCAGTATTGGACATTCACCAGGATGTTGCTCCGTATCTGCTGGATGGTGTACAATACAATGCAATTAGCCAAAGCACAAGCAAATAAAGAAAACATTTTCACCAACATTACTTTGGTTGTGTTTTCTTACTTTGCTATGTTTTTTCCCCTAAATGTTTTGTTGGTGAAAATGTTTTCTACATTTCCTTGTGCTTTGTCTATTTGCATCTGTTTCTTAAGTCACAGTGTGTTGAGCTTATGAGCCACTGTAATTTAGAGCCAAGTACGGTACTCTGATTATTGCAGCTGTCATGTAAACACTTGGGTAAACAAGCTGCAAAGAAGCTTAACCAACTGCAGAGACAGGTTGCTTCTATTTATTTTTCAAATGGCATTGCTAGCAGTGGAGGCAAAAACACATTTTAGGGGTGAAAACAAAAAGCATTTATGTTGAAATTAATAAGTGAAATGATATTAAAACTACCAGAAACATGCTGACAAAGTCGTGTTTTGCTCTGCTACTAAGAGTTTTCCTGTAAGCTCCATCAAGTCAGATTTCTACCTAAACAAATCTCATAATCTATTATCAGTTTACTTCCAACCATTTAAAGACAATGCAAATTGTAACCTCAGGAAACAATACAAACAAATACAGAAACACAGCGCTAAAACTTAAAGCCCAACCAAATACAATGCGATTTAGACAAAGCACAAGCAAATGGGAAAACAAGATGTTCTCACCAACTTACCATTGTTTATGTTTTCTCACTTTGCAGTGTTTTTTCCTAAATGTTGTGCATGTGATATCAAATTGTTTTGTTCATTTCCTTGTGCTTTCTGTATTTGCATCTGTTTCTTAAGTAACAGTGGGTTGAGCTTTCAGCAACACTATAATTTAGAGCCAAATACGGTACTCTGATTATTGCAGCTGTCATGTAAACACTTTGGTAAACAAGCCACAAAGAAGCTTAAACCGACTGCAGAAACAGGTTGTTTCTATTTGACTTTTTATTTTTTTAAATAACATTGCTAGCAGTGAGGGGAAAAAACACATTTGGAGGCTGACAACAAAATAGTTTCTTGATGAAATTGATAAGTGAAATGAAAAACAAGACACTCTGGCAAAGTCTCATTTTGTGGTGCTTCCTGCAGGTCCCATCATTCCAGATTTACACCAATCAAATCTTGCGATTATTTCAAGCAATGTAAACACTTTTTTGCTGTTACCTCAACCTGGTTATTCACACAGTAATTAGATTGCGGTTTTCATTTAAATAAACAATATACACTACACACTGTCACTATTGGAAATAGAGAAAAATAATAATAATTGCAAATAGCCACATTTTCTGTTAGTATAAAGCTTATTAGAAAGTTGTTGTCAGTGAGTTTATTACTGCGTTTACATTTGTCTTTTGATCTCTAGAGGAGAAGTGTCGAGGGTTTTATACTGTGACTCCAGGTTCTGAAAAAGGTAAATGGATCCATCACTTCCTCCTGCATGCTTGTTAGCACTTTGCTCATGGTAAAATCTGTCTTTGTGCTCAGCCTCTTCTCCTCACTCTGCAGCAATGCTGTGGCTGTCTCTATCACTGGAGCTCATGTATGTCGGCCTGCTGTTAATCAGCTGCACGCTGCTGTCTGTGCAGTTGTGTATCAGGGCCTGGTTCCCCTCCACGCAGCGCTGGGGGCAGCTGCTCAACTCGTTTGCTGCTGTCTTCACAGTCCTGGGAGGTAAAGATACTTATAATACAGATATAAAGAATGACCAGTATTACAAGCGTAAGTACTACTTTTGTCTTCACAGGTCTGCTTGGGATGGTGGGTCACATGATGTTCATGCAGGTGTTTCAGACCACTGCCTCAATGGGACCTGAAGACTTCAAGCCTCACAGCTATGGCTACTCCTGGGCGTTCTAGTGAGTTCATTAAACACACTGTACACTGAAATCACAGACACATGGGGCCTTGTTGAAACTGTATTGAAGAGCTGGGCACACTGATAACCTCAGTCAACTCAGCTGTTCCCTTCCAGACTTGGACTATAGTGTAATGAGGGTTTTGGTTTGGTCTGGTGGAAAGCCTTTTGTTTTCATGTCTTTCTGCTGAGTCCTTGCCTGACTAGCTTAAGTTCAATTTGAATTAGAGTGAATTTTCTTGCGCCTTCTCTGGGTCAAGCTTGCAGGGTCTGACAAACTATTCCACACCCAATTCTTTCAACTCATGTGGGACTGTAGTGCCTCCAGCGTGTCCTGCTTTGGGGTGTTCTCCTATTTGGCCATGCTGTCCTCCTTCTTCGTAGCATCATAGTTCATTTAAAATCCCAGTTTTCACAACAAATTTCGTGAATAAGGAACTCAAAATTAATTACAGAAAAGGTTCACAGAATTAACTCTAAAATGTTGTATTTGCGTGTTGGTGCTGTGAAATTGCAGGGGAAAAAATAGAGGAAAATTGATCTTGCACGAAGCTGTAAGAAAATGAATAATAGTTAATTGGAAATCTGTCCAAATACTAATCTCACTGGATAAATACAATTTCCAGACATCCCACTTGCCAAAATGTACTCTACCAGTGAATATAAAAAAAGAGGATTTTTTGAAAACTTCCGAGCATCCACGAGGTAATGTTTTTCTGTAAATACTGTATGTAGGTGTGTTTGCATACATACGTTGTATGTAAATATTGACGCTTAAAAGGATAGTTGGTTTTTTTTGAAGTGGGGCTGTTTGAGGTACTTATCCATAGTCAGTTTATTACCTGCAGTAGATGTCAGAGTGTCTTCAGTTTGGAGAAGCAGAAAGTTGTACCAGCAATCTAAACAATGTACTGCTGTGGACAGGGTCAGCAGCAAAATATATTTTAGCCACCTAAAAAACAACATCAGTTCAAGCGTACGCTATATTTAGAAAATTTCCGTTGATTTACCATGCCACCAAACAGCCATTTCCTCTGGAAGTACATTTTCTCAACCGTAGAATTCCTGCGCCTAAGCACGACTTGGCTGCACATTGTATAAAGGAAATAGCTGTTGAATACATTGCTTAGCTTCTGTGCTGGTACAGCTCTCTGCCAACAACACAACAACATGTTGTGTTGATCCCATTCTTGTTTCTCTCTGTCTCCATCAGTGCTGCCTGGTTTGCCTTTACTGTCTGCATGTCAGCCGGTGTCTCCACTCTGAACAACTACACCAAGAAGGTCCTGATGGTGGGACCCAGACGTAACTCCGGCCTTAACCCCTGCAGCTTTAACTTTCTCCTGCCACCGGCTCCTTACTACACCCCTGCCAACCCAGCCATCACCCTGGCCTGTCCCCCGTCTCCCCCCCAGATCTCCCACTTATCTCCCTACTACGACCCCCCGACAGCAACGTTACCTGCCACCACTCCGAGGCTCACGCACTCCCACTCCCTTCCTCTCCCGCACTCTGCTTCCTTCCCTCCTCCCCCCTCCCACCCTGCGCCTGGATCCCCTTTCCACCGCCTCTCTCTCCCCTCTCCATCTCCCTCGCCCACCCCGTCCGCCTCCGCCCACGTGACCCTGTCACGACACCAGGAAGACCATTACGAGCCGGAGGAGAACTACAGCCCACTTTCAACTGCTGTACATATCCAGACTGGAGTCTTTCTATGACTACAGGACCTGTGTCTATCTTGGCAACGCAGTTAAACATTTGTTAATAGTCTTGTCATATGCTCTGAATTTACATGGTCAGCCGTCCAGTCATCCAGTAAATCCAGGTAACCAGCGGTGAGCCCCTTCACTCAGTTCTAATAAAGGCAGCGAACACCTGTTAATGACAACCACAAAGTAGCCAATAGAACATAATTAAGTTGAAAATCAAGTTTTAATATTGAAAAATTAATTGTCATCCTTAATGAGAAATAATGGTAGCAAAAATAAAACAGCATTAGACATACAAAGCAATATGGGAAACAAAACATATTTACACATACATATCAAGGCGGTTGCCTTTTTGTTACACCAGGTGGAAACAGAGCTGATCTGACAAAGACGGAAAGTATATGACAGGTTGTGAAGATGTGATTTATTACTGGTACATAGTTCAGACAAGATATTTGATTAGTAAATATATCTAAAGTTTCATTTATATTGGATGAGTGTAAATCAAAATCTCTGAAATTTTGTTCTGTTTGCCGCATTTAAAATGAACCAAACAGAAATGAATTTCAAGTCGCACTAATTTGGGCTTCATTACTCTGCCCTTTTTTTTTTCTTTTTTTTTTTTTGAGCTGTCAATAAAATAATGTAGTGTAAGAATTTCTAAGGAAGCTGACAGCGATTACAGTGTTGAATACATATATGATCTGGCATTGCATTCCTACACATAAACCGGTTTGTTGTCTTCCCTAATCACAAATAATTACAAAAAAACTCAACTGCATTATATTATTGATATTATTTGATTATATCATTGCATAGTCTTATCATTAGTTCACACACACATCTACAACAGGTGACATTTCAATGCATTTTAAGACTTCAAAACGGCACAGCTTTACCCAGTACTTTGAAAATCAATGCCATTACATTGTAGTTACACTCTCTGTTTGGTGAGTGGCACATTCTACAAAGTAAAACCAGAGCATGTATTTATATATGAAACAAAAGTTGATGAACTAACAATAAAATAACACAAAAACTATCAACTAAAATAATAAACTCGCCCCTTTTTATCCAACACTCATATCCATATATAAATGTACATTACAAAAAAAAGACCACAGATTTTACTTTCAACCTTTGTTATAAGCCAGAAATAATGATCGATCTTAATTTATCATAGCATCTTCTATGCATTAGATGCCCTCAAGAAATCCAGCCCAAACTCTGGGTTGAAAATACACTCAAATACAACTGTGATTGATTGAGCTTGCCTTTTACTGCAAAAATATCCAAAACACTCCACAAAGTGTGAAACCCTGACTATCTGACAGCAGACTAAATTAAACACTAATATGTATTTGAGAGGATCAACAGGTCTGCTATATCTTGACCTGAATATACACTAGCAGCTCAAATCTGATGTCCGAAACCTATCCCATCTGGGACTAGCTGAAAGAGTATATCCAGCCAATGCTCTAGTGTCCTTCTCATGCAGTCTTCTTGCGTAGCACAAAGTAAATGATGGAGGAGATGAACGTGAGGCCAAAGGCGATCCACGCCAGGATGTAGCAGTGACCGTACCAGCCCAAAGTACCCTCATCGATGTGGAAGCGATCTGTGTAGATGGAGGCTGCGATCATGATGCACAGGCCTGGAGGGAAAGAGACATGGACATCAGTCAGGGAAGAGAATGACAGAAAGAAAGAAAAATAGGGAAGATACGGCGAGAGGGGGAACAAGGGAAAATATAAAAAAAAATACTCACTGGCTAACAGCTGAAAGATGCCAGAGACGGTGAACCTCTGTCCTTTGCTGAGGGTGAAGAGCTGAGCCACAAACACAAAGATGCCCAGGATGGAGAATATACAAGCTAGCACTGAGCTGGCCTGCACTGCCTGGAGGTAATCTGCAGGGGGAGCCAGAGAGAGGGCAACACAATGAAGATGTTGTGTGTGTGTGATGCGGGAGTATCCTCAATATGTGCTAAACTTCATAATAACATCCAGGAAAAAGTAATACGTTTGCAGTGACACTGTGTTTTTAAAAAATCTGTGTTTTTAAAAAATCTGATTCAAACGTCCCAGATATTTTAAACGGGCTGATTATAGTGACATGTAAAGCAAATTTATGTTTGGGAGGTCAATAGTTGTAATTACTGTATGACCAAAACTATACCCATCACTATACATAAGGTTCAGGAGATAAACACAAGTCATTACTTTCAGTTTCAATTTGGTCTCTTCTGCTTCTCTGTTTCTATGGCAGCATCATTCTGGCTATACTGTCTGCTAATTTGCAATGCGGACAAAATCATCTGGATGACTGCAAACCCATTGTGTGTCCCCAAGTGATTTACATGCACATGTTCTGGGAGATTGCCAGAAGAAACAGCACTGTAAAGTCAGATTGCCTCTATATGGTTTGGTAACGCAAACCATATACTTGAAGGGTTGTATTCAATGTGTATCAGACAGCTATCAAAACATTATTGTTCCAGATAATGACTCAAACATAGAGATATAAAGGTATCAATAGAAAGGCGTGTTTGATGAAAGACTTTATGGGCCGCTAAACCCATTTTCTCAATCAGATGCTTGATGCTAGAAAAAAGATTTGGATCCAAATCTGATGGCAGATGATGACACACCCACACAGCAGATTGGCTTGGAGTTTTTGAGTGTTGAGTGTAATAAATGATACCTAAAGATATCTTTGAGCATGAATATTTACTTTTTTAAAGAAATACCATACTATACCATAATAATATTTTTTATAATATATAATATTTTACAGCAGTTATTTCAGTCACTGGTGGCAGTACATGGGATGCTAAGTCGTGATGAAACATTGTAGGCAAATGTTGGTTTTACTGAGAAGTAAATATGATGATCAGTTTGTACGCATGGAAACAGGTTCTCCTCACTCTGCATCTTTGCAGAACAGGCAGTGTGTCTGGCTTACCCTGTGGGTAATTTGAGCCTTGGGGAAGATCAGTGAGGTTCCACACTCCGCCTTGCTCTGTCCACCGGCCCCACACATCAGTGGAAAGGTTGTTACCCACCCACCAGGCCTGAAGAGAAAGAAAGATTTTTACATTTCAAATCATGTTACAACATTGGTGCAGGGGTTGCATAAATACGGATAACCTTCCTGCATGCTAAAGGAAAATGAATAAATCAATACTAGCGGGAGAGAGAAAGAATGAGGAGAATTCAAAGCAGGAGTGTGTGTAAACATTGCTGCAGTGTGTGTTCACCCTGGGTTCTGACATGTATCTGGGGGAAGATAAAGGCAAAGAGGCGACAATCAGAGGGAGGAATGCACATCTGCCTGTCCCCATGGCATTTCTCAGGTCTCACCACAACTCAGGCAAGAATTTCAAACATTTACATATCTGCTGTCTGACTGACACCTTGCCTGCAGTTTAAATTCACACGCACTAAGCGGCACTGGGGGACGACACCATGGCCGGCCCACTTGTCACCCAGAAATGTCAAATATGTGTCCCTGAGAGGAACAGTGGACCCCTTAGAGAGAAGGCCTTCAGTTGATGAAAGAGAGGTGAGTGGCCAAATTACTCATCAGTCTTAAATCTTTGCTACCTGTCAGTGTGCTAGGAGAAGAACATAACTCCAACACTCAAATAGGGAGGAAGTTAGGGATTATGCTGCTGCAATCATGCCTCAAGGCTGTACGGAGTGTATGTAGGGGGCTGATAGTGCTGCACTGTACAGTTGTATGGAAATAAAACTGCAGAAATTAAAACACAGCAAAACTTAATCACAGTCTTACTTACATTGTCAATGGTGGCCACCAGGAGGAGGATGACGCCTATGATGTGAAGGGCGAAGATGCCAGCCAGGAGAATCAGCATGATGAGTGTGCTGGAGGGAGAGAGAGAGAGAGATACACAAGAGGAAACTTGTTACACCACTTTCCACCCTGTATTATGCCGGATGAATATAACTGGAGGGCTAACTCGTATTCAATCTAATAACCACACACACACACACACACAAACACACACGGAGAGAGAACAAATTAGCAGCTAATATGAGCTGAAAGAATGAAATATGCCCTATAACAAAGGCTTCAGATTTCCTGCCTGGTTTTAGAAAGGCAACCATTATTGACAGCTTTACATTCCCTAGCCCCTTACCCTAACCGTAACCTTAACCTAATTGTAACCTGAAGCCTAAAACCCTCAAAAGGAAGTCTATGAATGGTGACAAAAATTGCCCTGACAAGTCCCCATGGGTTATTGTGCATTCATTAAAGTTCCCACCGAGATATTAAAACATGAAACACACACACACACACATCTTCATAAACACAATCATTCAGAGTAGCAAAACCTGGCACCCGCTCAGGGTGTGGCTTCACAACTTCTAATTACTTTGAGTTAACAGCTAATGCACTCCAAGTGAAATGCCTCTGCATAGACAGTGAGATTATGTTCCTATCAAGCGTCAGAGAGGAGACAAATGCAGGGGTGTTGATTGATATGTGTGCAGGCAGAGAACAGTACATGAAATCAGTTGGCAAACAGAAAATGTTGGTAAAGCAGGAGTGTGAAGGAGGGAACTTCATGGCAGGCAGATGAGTTTGGGCTTGCCTTTAAACCTGCCACTCCTTAAAATAACTGTAGAGATTACCTGCTGTTCCAACGCTTAGCTGGCCCACACCCGATCCCCCTGGTTTGAAGTACTACACATTATCACACAGTGTAACCCTAAAAACTTACTCTTAACCGGTCCCTCTTAACCTGCCCTAAAATATCAGAGATTTTATCATTTGTCATTACTCTACTAACTACTCCACTTCATAGCCCACATACAGACTACTTGTATGTGGGCTATCTGTGGCTGTATTCAGTACGGAGGCTGCACTGGGTGTGATGAACAGAGGGAGAGGCACATCTGTAATGTGCTGGTTCTCTCCATGGTGAAGGAGTGGTCAAGGGCTGGGTCCACACACACGCATACACACTCATACCCGCCAACTTCCCTCTTGCTCACACGCAACCACACTCAAATACAGACACGGAGCACTGGGGGGCACAGTGATACACATGCGATCATGCTGACACCTCTTTACCAATGTTTCCCACCTTTCATCTGCTTCAGACAGCTACAATGAAGCGACAGACTGAGTTTTTAAATATTTGTATTATTTTTGCCTGAAGCTCTTAGAGCTCAAAGACAGACG